CCCCAAAACCCCAAAACCCCAAAACCCCAAAACCCCAGGCTCAGAATCTTAAATTGCACTTAACCTAATTTTGCAGCTGAACCAGTCAAACTTAAGTGGCAAGGTTCGCCACTACTGTGAGGTTGGGCAGGGAGGAGAATTTAGGATGCGGGGAATTTGAACCAGGAGGAGCTGAGTTTGGAGGGGTTGGGGTAATGTGTGTTGAAAATTTGGGTGAAATTGGGGAGAAGGAAATTTTGCACTGGATGTTGTGTTGTTGAGGTAAAGTTACTTTATGTGTCCTTCCGATTGTCATATAACACAAATGAAGGCTAATTTGTATCTCAATCATCTTTAGAGTGCATTCGACTCTACTTGAAGCCTTCATTTAAAAATTAGTCACCTCTTCTGGGGTCCATGTTGAACTGCCTCCACAAGTAAGGGATCGGCTCGTTCTGATTAGCTGTTAGAAACTCTGGCTTCTGGTGCTGGTCGAGGTGGGGAATGGAGCTGGGGCTTGGGTGGTATTTCTGGAGCCGCGACTGACCAGGGTCTGCAGTGACCTTTGACTGGGATTCATCTTCATAGATTTTTTGGTAGTCAAAGTTTAAAGAGGGGTCCTGACTGATCGCCTCAACGTAGTCTGGGTCTTTAAGCAGAATGTACTTGGTCTGAATCCATAGGGTTTTGACCATGTAGGCGATGTTCAGGCAGTCAAGGGAGTTACTGAATTTTTCCATTTCCTCTTCCATTGTTTTGTATTTGTTCAGAATAGAGAAAAATTTGCTCTTATCCCTATTTGAACTTACTATCATTTAATTCCTTTTTATGAGATGTATTCTGAGGATTCTGGACTCCTTGTCTCTCTGGATTTGAATTAAGGTTGTTTTGTTCCACATCTTCTACTGGGTCTTAAAATAATTGCAAAGCTTACCTCGGAGCTGATTATGCTCTTCCTCATTTTGAAAGGAACCTCCCTCCTCAAGAGGCTTAAAAATCTGATTGATGAGCTTTAATTTCTTCTTCCAAACCCCTGACCAAGTTATGTTTGGATTCTTCATTCCAATTTTCTGATGACTTCTCTTTGATACTATGCATCTCTTCCTTTACTTCTTCATTATTTATCTGATGATCAGATTGGGCTCGGATATCATTAAGATTAACTGTTTGTTTCAGTTGAAACTCCAGATTTTTAATGCACTTTTGCATTAATTTAAATTTGTCTTCGTATTTAAGAAGATCTTTATAGATTTTTCTTTTAAACATTAGTGATGAATAGAGCCCAAGGAGCACCCCAAAACCTAATTCGAAAATCTCGAAGATACCTCCAAGAACACCTGTGACTTCAAGGAAGTTGAGTATTCTTCTTTGATGTTGGTCAACTTGTGGGTCTCTTGAAATTTGGACATAGACCAAACCACTACTTTCGATACCTATGTTCTCCTCAAAAATCTCGAAATCTTCAATACTGTTGAAGTACTTAGGCTCTGTATCCCAAGGCAAGGGAAAGAAGGAGTCCTCAAGGATAACTTCGTGTTTTCTCAGCTTGAACTTCACAATGATCCGTTTGTTTTCTTTATATTGAATTTGAAATGGTCTGTCGTAGTACTTCTTAATAGGATTCTCAATATCGTTGAGGTCAATGTATCTGTTGTTCAAATGAATTCTTATAATCGAGTCCTTTGCAATAGCTTCTGGAATTCCATCTTGAGCGCAAGTGTATGTCCCGTTAAATTTTACCCTGCTTTCATATCAAGTTCTAAATTCCATAAATATATTTGCATGAGTATAATCTCCTCCTTCATTTCCTTGAAGCTTATACCCACTAAAAGTGGGGCAATGAGGGGCAGCATCACCTACGAACCCCATAGAATCATCTGAGGTTGAGAAGCTGTTGCTTCAATCCAAATCAGCTACACAAAGCATCATTTTTACACCAAGCAGTCTTAAAACTTACTTATTAAAGTCCTTATATTGTCTCCTGGATTTATATTTGGATCTTTTACTGTGGTATCATTTCGAACATTTCTTTCATAATAATAAGAAGCCTTGATTGCCTTTTCAGGATTATCTAATTCACCATAGAGATTTATGTTATTGTAAGCACTCCAATATATTTTGAATTCAGGGTCTTCTTCATCCCAGAGAAGCCCACTGTCGTCATATCTGAGATCAGTCTGAATAGAGTTCTGGTTCCAACTCACATCAGTTCTCTTGAACATATTCCTAAGTAAAACCACAGTGTAACCCAGAAGAATTACAAACATGATGAGAGTAGCGAGGCCTCCTAAAAAGTTGGAGAAGTTGTCTTTGCCTCTATAAGTGAGGGAAACTGACTGCCTGAAAATGTCTCTGTTCCTGATCCTATTGTATGACCACTTCAGGGTCTTTAAGTAGCAATTCGGCATTTTAATACCAAGTATTTACTAATAATATAATTCAATTATATTTTGAGATCTAGGGGTTTTGGGGTTTTGGGGTTTTGGGGTTTTGGGG